TGTCCTCTTCTCTATCTACTTCCATTTATCACTAATTCTCCTGTTCCTGATGATGTTCTGCTTATTCCTCCTGATTCCTCTACTATTTCAACACCTATTCCTGACCTTGTAGCTACTGCCTTTTCAGTTGATCCAATTTAGTCTTTTCAGCTTAGGAAAAGCAGTAGTAATCACACTTTCCCTCATACCTCAATTATTTTGTGGTTCAACTTCCTCCTTCACTCTCTAACTCCACTGCTACATCCCTTTCTGCTGCCCACATAGTTTCTTCTGAGCCTCATCTTATGTTAAGGTTGTTTCTATCCCTGCTTGACAAGAAGCCACGGGGAAGGAGTTTCAGGCTCTAGAAGCTAATGGCACTTGGACAATAGTTGAATTACCTCAAGGGAAGAAAGCCATTGGGTGCAAATGGGTCTATAAGATTAACTATAAAGATGATGGTAGTGGTGAGAGGTACAAGGCAAGGTTGGTTGTAAAGGGCGATACATAAGTAGAGGTATTGAATTTCATGAGATATTTTCCCTAGTGGTTAAAATGTGCACCATTAGGTGTTTAATTGTTGTTGCTGTTAAGAGGACTTGGTTTCTTTTTCAATTAGATGTCAACAATATATTTCTTCATGGTGACTTTGATGAGGAAGTGTACATGAAACTTTCCCCGGACTAACAGTTGCTTTTACCTCAAATTCTGCTTCTACTCTTGTTTGTAAGCTTCAAAAATCTCTCTATGGATTGAGGCAAGCCTCCTAACAATGGTGTGCTAAGCTATATCAAGCTCTTTACACTAGAGGATACACCCATTCTTTGAATGATTACTCTCTCTTCTTTAAAAATCAGTTTCATCCACTGTCTTGTTTGTTGTTTATATTGATGACATAATTCTAACTGGTGATGATCTTGTTGAGATAGCTTTTCTCAAGCAATTATTGGATAACCAATTTAAAATCAAGGATTTAAGTTTGCTCAATTATTTTTAGGTATTGAAATATTGTATGATGCGTTTGGGGTTCTTCTTAACCAAAAGAAGTTCACTTCTTATTTAATTTTTGAGTTTGGGTGCACTGATGCTTCAGCAGTTGTCTCTACTCTTGAGTTGTGTGTCAAGTTGACATCTGATCAGGGTAAGATGTTGCATAATCCTCAGTCTTATAGAAGCCTCATTAGAAAATTAAATTTTCTCACCCACACTCACCCACTCTCGACTAGACTTGTGTTTTGATGTCCAATTAAGTCAATTCCTCCAGTCTTCTTGCATTCCTCATATGGCTGCTGCAATGCATATCTTAAAGTATTTGAATGGCTTACTTGATGTAGGGGTGTTTCTTAATGCTTCATCAAATTTTTCACTTCAAGCTTTTTGTGATAGTGCTTGGGCAGCTTGCCCTAAGTTCCGCAGGTCAGTTTCTGGTTTTTTCATATTATTGGGATGAAGCCTTATTATCTTGAAATAGAAGAAGCAAGTTATTGTTTCTTTGTCATCAGCAGAAGCTGAATATCGAGCCATTAGTAAAGTTGTGGGTGAACTTGTTTGGTTAGTTCATTTGCCTGCTGATTTAGACTCGCCTATTTCTACCCCAGTTCCTATTTTCTATGATAACTTGGTTATACTTTACATAGTTAAAAACCGAGTCTTTCACGAGCGTACAAAGCATATTGAGGTTGACTGTCATTTCATCCGGACCAAGTTGGCTGATGGTCTCATAACTTGGCTGATGGTCTCACTTCTTCTCAACTGGCTGACATTTTTTCTACGTGCTTAACAGGTGGACATCATCCCTTCTTACTTAGCAAGTTGGGCGTGGTATCACTCTCCAACTTTCG